GTTGCTCCAGTTACAATTCCCCTCGATAACCACGGAGAGTTTCTCTCAGCACATCCCATGCTCTGGGTCAGTTCAGAAATGGGAATGTTGTAGGCATGAAATTGGAGAGAGTCGAATCCACCTCAGCACCTCCCTGCCAGAACAGAGCTCTCTCAATAAGAACCCCAATTAAAAATCATTAATTATGAGGTGAATCATGACGTTTCTTTCATTCCACTTCACTCTCGGGCTGTGCATGAAGGTAGTTCTCATGGCTGGAAAATGTGTTTTTTTCATGCTTTATAACAACCAGAYTGCAAGARAAGCAGATCATTCCTTAAATCCATAGCACGTGCTGGAAGCCCCAGCTGCTTTGAAGCAGCTCAGTGCCTGTTTCTCAGCTCCTCTGCCCCCAGATGAACACGGGTGAGCTCTGGGGCTGCTCTGGCGGGGTTTTTTCATTGTTTCCTTGTTGTTCCCTCGTTCCCAGGTACAGGGGCAGCCGCTGATGGTGCAGGTGAGCGGGGGGCAGCTCATCACCTCCACGGGCCAGCCCATCATGGTGCAGGCTGTGCCAGGAGGGCAGGGCCAGACCATCATGCAGGTCCCAGTGTCCGGCACGCAGGGGCTGCAGCAGGTGAGACACCCTGGGGACACTCCCCAGCCTGGGGACACTCTGGGATGCTCCCACTGCCACTCAGGGCTCTGCTCAGCACCCGAAAACCAGGCAAAGGTGGTGCTTTGTGGCTCTGGCACGGTGGGAATGATGAATGAAAGTCCTTGTGAACTGAATTTTTGTATTTTATGGCCTGGTGCAAACCTTTTAGATGAAGAAYAGTAAAGTACAGCTGGGTTGGTTTGGGGTTTTTCATCATGGAATGGTTTGGGTTGGRTGAAACCTTAAAGCTCATCCAGCTCCCCATCTCCCTGCTATGGGCAGGGTTACCTTCCACTAGACCAGGATTTTTGTTGGGTTATTTTTCTTATTTTATCTGGCCCTTGCAGTGTTGTGGAGTTCTGGTGCCTGTTCAATTTATGGCTCAGAAAGAGGATTTAAAAAAATATATTTAAGAAAGCTTCTTGAGAATAATTTGTGCTTGAGCCCCTTTAATATGTGATGGCTGAAGGGGARTTTAAACATCCCTGTTGCACAGAAGGCAATAGTGAGGGAAGTGTAGAAGATGGATTTTTTGGAAGCAATTACCTGTTTAAAAGACAGTTGGTAAATTTAAAGAGGTGGTTGAAGTGTTTCTCAAAASGGAAGAACTGTAACCATGGAATAATGAAAGTGTCCTGGTGAYGTAGGATGGGATTTAGGAATCCAGCATAGTCCAGGAAGGCAAATGATGTCTTGGTGTTTTGAGAGGTTTCTTGAAAATTTCTGCTGTTGAAAACCACTGTATTTTGTATGAGGTTCCTCTCAGTCTGGTTGTTGGAGGAAAATCCATAACTGGCTTTTTAAACACAAACTTCAAACCATACTTTTTTAAACTAAGAACATTCTACAGTGGTGGAAAGACTCTGCAAAGCTGAGGACAACTTTATATCTCCCAGAAGCACTTCTGAGTGCTGGATAATTACCACCCCACAGATGTCTTAAATCTTAGTCCTCTTCTTCTTCCACCTGACTGTTTGTTCCCAGTGGCGTGTGAATAATTGATTTCTCCTGAGTGATTTATTGTGTAAGCAGCACAGAGCTGCTGGAGCACAGTGACACAGCACATTGCTCCCTCTGCCCTGGATGCTGTGTYACAGGGAGCAATCCATTAAAACTCCTCATTTCCAACTGGAAAAAGAGAAGACTCGCTGCTTTCTTTTTCTGTGCAACAGTAAATCACCCTCAGAGATGACTTAGTCATGCTGAGGCCCAGGAGGGAGAAATCAGAGGCATAGTTAATGTTCCTTTCTGACTCTTTCTTCCACAGATTCAGTTGGTCCAGCCAGGTCAGATTCAGATTCAAGGTGGGCAGGCTGTGCAGGTACAGGGGCAGCAGGGCCAGACCCAGCAGATCATTATACAGCAGCCCCAGACTGCAGTTACTGCTGGCCAGACACAGGTAACTGCACCAGCATGAAAGGCTTTTCTGGAGAGGAGCAGGAAGAGAAACTTGACAAATGACTTAAGATGTGGTTAAGTAAAAAAAAAAAATAAAAGGAAAAAAAGGAATTGTTAATGTCGAGGAGAACTTGAGAATAAGTGTCATGTTTTTGTAGTGTTTCATACATGACTCTGGGGCAGAATAATTCGGTTGCATGTTTTTCTCCATCGTGTTTCTGTATTTTATTGGTTCGTGGTYGTTTTTGTCTCTTTGTTGACTTTTGAAAACATGAAGCATTGCCAATTCCATACTTGGGCCATTGTGTGCAGTAGTCCAGTCACACCTGGGGTTTCTGCTGATGCTTTTGGTTAGGGCCAAAATTAAATTTTGGAGCAGAACAGTTCTTCCTTTCACATCTTCATAGTGAGACAGGAAACCTAGAATTTGTTTTTTTTCATTGAACTGTCTGAAAAAAACATCTCACATGTGCTTCAGGTGTTTGATCTTCAGTTATTTGGTTTGTGCCCTGGCCTATTTCTTATTGCTGCTAATGAAGCGACAGAAATAGACACCTGGAACACCTCAAGCACCATGTGTTCATTCAGGAATTGTAAACACTGCAAAAAGAAGCAATTTGTGACCCTTTTGTGCTCTTTGTTTTGTTCAGACCCAGCAGCAAATAGCAGTGCAAGGCCAGCAGGTTGCCCAGGCTGCTGAGGGCCAGACCATCGTGTACCAGCCCGTGAATGCTGATGGCACCATCCTGCAGCAAGGTAGGAGGGCTGGGAGGAGCCAGGATTCTTCTTGGGGAGGGCTTTTTATTTTTTCAGGTGTTTGTGTTCTGCAGGAATTCACTCTGGGGTTCTTTAAATCCCCTTGTCTCTGGCAAGGGCTGGTAGAATAAAACCCCTTAATTTTGCTTTTCCACCTCAAGAGTACRTGGTTACTCACAGTGAGATTACAAATGCAAAAAACAGGAGTTCTCATGAAAATTCAATCCCTCACTTGAATGCTTCCCTGAATCTCTGCATGTTCTGGAAGGATGAATGAGTAAAACACAGAAGTGGGACTAATGCTGTTCCCTTCTTTTTGTGTGCGTGTTTTTGTTTCCTTTTTTTTTTTCCCCCCCCTTTTTTCTTTTCCTTTGTTTTCTACTTCCTTAAAGTTACAGTCCCTGTTACAGGCATGATCACCATTCCAGCAGCCAGCCTGGCTGGGGCCCAGATTGTCCAAACAGGAGCCAACACCAACACCACCAGCAGTGGCCAGGGGACGGTCACGGTGACACTGCCAGTGGCTGGCAACGTGGTCAATTCAGGGGGAATGGTCATGGTAGGTGTGAAATTCCCACTGCTGCCTTTGGAGGCTGAGCTTKAAGGTGTCTGTACTCAAATCTARCAGGRTTTTCAYGAGRGGAGGRATAGGACAGYGGGGARTGGCTGRAAKTTGAAGGAGGGMAGGGTTGGATGGGGTATTGGGGRGAAATTCCTCCCTGGAGGGTGGGSAGGSSCTGGCACMGGGTGCCCRGAGAAGCTGTGGCTGYCCCTGGATCCCTGGMAGTGTCCAAGGCCAGGYTGGAGCACCCTGGGGTGATGGAAGATGTCCCTGCCCATRACAGGGGGTAGCACTGGGTGATCCTTAAGGTCCCTTCCAACCCAAAACATTCCATGATTCTCTGATAAACTTTTACCTGAGATTCAGGCCATCTTAATATGTTCAGTCCTCTCTGTAAGTTCCCTTAGTTTAAAGTTTAAACAATACAAATTTTCAGCTTTAAAGGCCTGGATCAGGCTCTGTTCTATATGGTTTGCATTTTCTCCCACAGCAGTTCAGAAATCTAGAAACTGAAACTCAAATTGAGCTGTGAACTGGTGAGCAGAGGTTTAAATAGGTTGAGTTGGTTTTGTTGACAATCCCTCAGGATTTGTTTCCTACATTTTTAGAAGTTTTTCTGCCACTTCCTGGTGTTTTTTTGTAGTGTAAAGCCCTTGAACTGGAATGTTGTTGTTCCCCACTAGATGTCAGCAGATCTGCAATGTTGGGTTAGAAATGCTCTGAGAGGAAATAATTGAAATAAGAGATAACCCAAAAGAAAGGGAAGCACTGGCTGTGTCCTGTTTGTTTAATTGTCTGAGAAGGAGCAATACGGTCATGGAATTGTATTGATATTTTACTTTTATCAAAAAAACCCAGCAGGTCTGATAAGGAATTGATTTGTTTAAATTGGTTCTGCAGTTTGAGAAGAAGCTTTATTGCTCCTTCTCATTTTAGTGGCTGTAACAAAACCCAAACACTTTCCATTTTAATATTTGGGTTTTGAATTACATTTTTGTGTTCACTTTGTGTGCTGAGCTGCAAGGATTAAACCCACCTTGTCTGTACAGATGGTGCCTGGAGCTGGCTCAGTCCCAGCCATCCAGAGGATCCCTTTGCCTGGAGCAGAGATGCTGGAAGAGGAGCCCCTCTATGTCAATGCCAAGCAGTACCACCGCATCCTGAAGAGGAGGCAGGCACGGGCAAAGCTGGAAGCAGAGGGGAAAATCCCCAAAGAGAGAAGGGTGAGAATAAAACATGGGTCTGACACAGGGTTGCTCGCTGAGAAAGGCACAGAATCCCAGCTGGGCTGGAAAATGAGGATCAGACTCTTAGTGTTACTCATTTTTATGATGTTTCTGTTGTTTATCAGTGACATCAGAGTAAATATAATTCCCTCGGGGCAGCTCTGCTTCCTTTGGGATTGTCTGGAGCTGTGAGTGTACCTTGACTGTCAGCACCTTGTCTGTGGGGCAGGGGGGTGGATGGGGACTGGGAATTTTCCTGGGAAGAGCATCTGCTCCCTGACCTGCTGCTTCCCTCTCTGCAGAAATACCTGCATGAGTCCCGGCACCGGCACGCCATGGCCAGGAAACGCGGAGAGGGGGGACGCTTCTTCTCCCCCAAGGAAAAGGACAGCCCTCACATGCAGGTGAGTGGGATTTGGGACAAATCCCCTTCCAGCCCTTCAGGACACACATCAGAAGTGTCTGCACTGGTTTGTTTGGGATTCTGGGCTTGGCTGCTGAGCTTTGTCCCTCTGGGCCTCTGAATTTCTCTGCTGCTGAGCCTTGTCCGTTCCTGCCTTTAAATTTATTCCAAGCATTGGGAAAAAACCTTCTGTCACTGCTTGTAAAGAGCAAGGGATGTTTGCCCTGGGGAATTAAATGACAATAATGTGGATTGAAGTGTATTCACTTTGTAGTTGTTAGGATAAATGCACACAAACGTTGTTTGTTTGTAAAGCAGCCTTTCTGGTTGGGTACCAGGGCTGTCCTTTCAGGTYATGAATGAAAGGTAAAGGTGCCTTATCTTTACACCTGATKGAAAATGAAAAYGTGGGAATATTTAAATCTTAGCTGYATATTAATTTGTATAAAAAGTGCAAGGCATTTTTCAGAGGAAGGGCACGATGGAGTAGAATGAACAGATTCTGTAGTTGTTCAGTGCTTTAGAACAGTCCTGTGCCTTTAGGGAGTGTTTCTTGTTTTGAACTACAATCCTTCCCGAGAACCAGAAACAGCACATTCTTGGGAACTGTTGGGATTTTTGTGTCCCAGTCTCTTACACTGGCCTGTAAAACCCAGGGAAAATTGGACGTTTTTGGAGATCAAGGGAAGGGCAGAAGTGTTTCCTCACAATAATTGTGTGTGGTTGTCTCCGCTTTGTGGAAAAATGGAATTTCCAACATTTTGTGTCTGCAGGATCCAAGTCAAACCAACGAAGAAGCGATGACACAGATGATCAGGGTCTCCTAACCACTGCTTCCAGGGACAAACACCTGAATGGAATTCCCATCCCTCCTGCCAGCCTGTCCTGCCTGCCCAGTGTGCCCAGTGAATCCTGGAGTGGGACAATCTCCATGTCACAGCCTGTCCTTTTCTACAGAACAAGCACCACGTGTTGAGGACGTGGCTGAGGTTTTAACTCTACAAACAGAACCTTTCAGACTTCCTYGGTGCCCTCTCCTGATCCAGCACAGGGAATTTGGAGTCTGAGCATTCATCCCTTTAGTTTTCCTTYGTTTTCCCACCTCAATCCCCGTGGCTGCTGCAGCACAGCCGTGTCCTGGGACAGATTCCAGCTACTCCAACCAGCACTGAATGGCTGSACCCCAGGCCTGTGCTTGCCCAGCAGAGATTTGTAATTCCATCCACTCCTCACCCCTTTGGACTTCATTTTCCCTGACCTGGGCCCTGCTGTTGCACTTCTGACCCTGGCAGAAACTGAAGGGGATTCTTTTCAATTCCACCTTGTAAATGTGTAAAGAAGCTCTTCTCTGGGAAAGGTTCAGCCATCCAATCAATGCTAGAAATAGTCAAGATTAATGCAGGACTTGYTGTATTGTGTCTGTGTTGCAAGTGGGGTGGGACAGGGTGATATGGGGGGGATTGGAGCAGTAAATCAAGCTCTGGGTGGTTTTGTATGTTTATTGCCAGTCCTTGTTCCTTTGGAAGAAAACTGGATGTGAGTATAAAAAGGATTGAAACTTTTAGGTGAGTCTCTTCCAAAGTATTTTTTTTTGTTTTTTAATCTTTTTTTTCTCTTCACTTGCCAGTGAAGTCCGTGGTTTCCCCTGAAGAAGTGGAATCCTCAGTCTCAGAGTGGTGKCACTTGACCATTGCTGGGACAGTATTTCTGATGATAAATCAGTTCTACAATTCCAGAGTGAGGGATATTTCAGGACAGCTGCAGCTGGGGCAGCTCAGCCTGAGGTACCTGAAGGKCTGGTAACAAATTAAGGCAGATACTGCTGAACCTTCCATGCTTTTTATCAATTATCCTCTTAAAAAGAAAGTGGCACTTAGTGAAGGAGCAGTACTTACATCCAAAAAAAAAGGATTTTTTAATGACCTACAGCTGGCTTCGAGCTGAGCATCCCCACAGAATRGATCTTTAATTTAGATTTTGAGCCTGCTCTATTACCCAAATTTGGTGATGGGAGGAGCAGCTAAAAGCATTTATCAGGTGATTTGTCACCATTCCATGCCCTCTCCCACCTTGATGAGCTGTGCAGCTGCTCTGTAGATCATCTACTTGCTGGAATCCCAGATTTTCCAATTTTTGTGTCCTGTAGTTCAAACTGGATCACAGCAGGGGAGTTTGGGATTGGGAATGTGGCCAGGTGAAGCTGCAGAGGGAGGAGTTTTTGAAGAAAGCAGCCAAGGATGGGTGAGACTGGGTTAAATTCAGTAAATGCTGATTTCAAATGACAAAAAAAAATGCAGCTTGAAAATTACATTTCCTCCCATGTTTTCCCATTTACTGGAAGCTTATGACTAAAAGTGGAGGACAAATGAACAAATTGTAGAAGACTGGGAGGATACAAAAGAACAGAGCCTGGAAAATTCTATTTCCTTTGRATAAAAGAAAAATACCAAACCTAAGAGTACAAGAAGAAGAGGAGGAAGGAGAAATGCTGGATCTTTGTTGTGAGCAGGCAATTCTGGGGGAAGAGAGAGCCTGTCCAGGTGTAGGGATGAGTTGTGGGGGCAGTGAAGGGACAATCCATGTCTGACCCCWCCCCACAGCTGGAGCTGGGAAGGAAACTCGGACAGGGGGACAGCTGCAGCTTCAGGAGGAGCTGGTTTGGGTCCTGGCAGGCAGATAAACCTCTCTTTCCATTTTTATCCTGAGTTAGAGCAACAATCTGACACTCTGCTCACAACTCTTCGTTAGGATTTTTTCCCCTCATGATTCCAAGGGCATTTTTACATCGTCAGGGCCTCTGGCTGCTTCTGCCTTCAGTCCTTGATCAGTTCCAGCACGGTGCTGATTTTCCTCAGCTGGCACCCAAAACCCTCACACAGCATTTCCTGGGATCTCCCCYGTTTCAGGAACATGCAGCTTTCTTTAGGGAATTTTAGTTGGATTTGCAGCATTACTGTAAATATTTTTTGGGGAGCATCTGTACATTTTGTTAGTGGAATATTTGTGTGCTGGAGTAAGAGCCTCTCCATGGCTTTTTTTGCTCTTCAGTTGATGGTAAATCTCTGTCTTTAGGGAACTCCTGAGAGCTGGAAGTTCAGGAAGCAAGATTATAGATTGTTCTGACATAGGTTTTGTTTTGTTTTGTTTTTTTTTAATGAGTAATTACTTTTCTTAAAGAACTTGTAAACCTTTTCCAACCAGCTAGAACTTGTTTCCCAATATCCCTTCATATCTAGGTTCTTTGTTGTAGGTTGTGTGTGAAGAAATACGGATTTTGTTCTAGAAAGTCTTGTTGTTAATACTTTCCATAGTGATGTGAAAGCCCCAGTGCTCCGCTCATATTTTTTATTTGTTTTGTGTTCTGTGTGTCGCTGCTGAAAGTTGTGTTTCRTTTGGTGAGGTTGGAGCCAGCAGTCAACACCACGGTACCAAAAAAATTTCTGCTTTTTTTCTTTCCCAGGGAAATCTGTTACATTGGAGACATGTCCAATTCAAACCTCCCAAGTGATTAAATGAGAATTCTTTGTAGATTGGCTACACTTGAGTAAAAACTCCACTTTAGGAGCRACTAAAAGAGTGGGGAGAAATGTGGTGGATTGACCCAGAGCAGTGAAGCATCAAACCCATCAAAACCCAGATTTATACAAATGTAAAGAACAGAATTTGGAAAAAAAAAACGGTCCTCAAGTGATGCTAAATGGCTTTAAGGCCCTGCATGATAAAAAGAGGGGAAAGATAAAACTTTTCTTTGTGAATGGGCATGGGAGGGTCCTGAGCTTAACGTAATGTCAGGCGATGTTTGTACATAGTTCGAAATTTTTAATTTTTTTTATATGATGCATTTTTTCAAGTGTATTTTGGTCTTTAATAGATGCAATTGTAAGTACTGTGTACACTCTGCAGCTAATAAAATTTATAAACTGAGGAATTTTGGCTCTGGGATGGTGTGATGGGATGTTGGGGAGGGCAGGGGGGGTCTTTGGTGTGGCCAGGCACCTCCTGCCCCTACCTGGGGGTGGCCAGAACTTCAGTGTATTTTTAACCTCTTGAGTTTTTCTGATGTGGATTTCTTCTTTGCACTTAGAGGAATAGAACCTTGAGTTAAACCCCTGGATCTGAGCATCTGGCAGTTCTCTGTGTGTTTTTCTAGATCTCTTCTCTCCTTTGTTCTTTCTGCCTCTCTTTGTTTTCCTGATTCTCTTTCCCTGTAACTTCTGGGTATTTGTAAATGCCATGTTTTTTTTTTCCATTGGGTTAAGCTGGTACTCAGTAAATGCTCAATTTCCACCAAGCAATGCTATGATAAGTGGTTTTATGTTGCTTTCTATGTTGTATTTCAYCATTTGCCAAAGATCATTGAGTTTTGGTTGTTTGATTTTTGATGTTTTTGTCAGTGAACTTCAGTGTGATTTTTACCTCTGGTGGGAATTTCACCTTTGCACTGAAAGAGAGCAATAGAACCTTAAATTAAACCCCGTGGATCTGGGCATCCCAGCCTTATGGGGTGCCACTACTGCCAACTGTTTAATTCCCTAATATTCCAGTTTACCTTCCACAAAGGTGATTTCTCCTCATCCCCAGCTCCCAGCTATTCTGTCATTTTCTTTTTTTTTTGCCCAAACATGGCTGGATGAAGACCCTTAGATCGGGTTTATTTCTATGTTTTGGCACAAAAAGTGTTTTTCTCTCAGGAGGATTGGGTGGGCTTTGAAAACTTTTAACAGCGAATTTCTGAATTTCYTGTAATCCCTCTGGGCACACTGCTCTTTCCCAGGATTGGAACTGCACACTCACTGCAGTTTCACAAATAGTTAATGGTACAAACCCCACACCAACATTTCAGCATCTCAAATGTTCCCCAGAGCACAAGGCTGTCAGTCACGAATTCTTTCTGGAATTGGTCAATGCAGTGATGATCACAAAAAAAAACCCCAATCCAAACAAACAAACCAAAAAAAAAGGGAAATGACAGTATGTAAGAGCAGAGAGTGGGGAAGCTGGGACAGGAAATGAGGAGAACAATCATGCAAGMCTATTTAGGAAGTCAGAAATCCGTTTCTTCAGCTATTATGATGTAATTTTCTAACTTTTTTTTCAGACAATTTGCAATAGAATTATAAAATCACCTCAGATATAATAGTAAAAAAGCTGGTAGCATGTAGCATATCAGAGCACTCAACAGAATTTGCTTTTCTCTCTCATTCTCACCTTCAAAATCGCACAAGACTCACAGGCAGAGCAGAGTTTATCCAATCCATGGATGTATTCCCTGCCTTTCCACCTTCCACCCAGGCTGAAATCTTCCTGCTTTCTTGATATCCAAAAATTAAACCCATTTTTGTGTCCTATCCAGCATCCTCGGCCTCCTGCTCACAGAATTAAGAGGAAAATCTCCACCAGCTGAATTTGGGGATTTATCCATAATCCCTGAGGGATGCTTGCTTATATCACCATGATAACAGGGTGCTGTAGTTGGATCAACACGGGTGTAATTTGTAATAAAGTCAAGCTAGATTTGTCCTGGAGCACGGGTKTGTGTTAATAAACAACAAACAGGGAAACACGGAGTTATCTCTTTGTAAAACAAATCGATACCTTGGAGTGTAAATTCCACTCCAGATAATCAAGCTGATGCTAATTTATACTGCAAAGCAGACAAATATTTTCCAAGAAGCCCTTTGTTTATTAAAACATGTCAAATGCATTACTTGTCTCTCTGAAGCCTAGGAAGCAGATCGTAGGTTTAAAATAAAGTTTAAAATTAAGCAGAATTTTACCACTTTGCTGATTTGGATTTTATCAGATTGGGCAGTAATTAATGCTTTATTTGTGAGTATTTAAGTGCAGAGGAAGCTCCTCACTTGGCCTGGCTGTGGTGCTCTATCAGCTGCTGCCAGGCACAAGCAGTTTCCTGTGTTTGGGTTTCTATCTCCCTGCCATTCAAAAACAGAGTAATTTGGAAAAGCAAATGCACCACAGCTTTCCTCTGGGTTTGCTGTGCTGTGAGAAAAGT